TGTGACCAAAATTTACCGTCATTATGACGTCAGTTTGCTACTTGGGATATGTTTCAGAAATATTTCAGTAATATTACCGAAATATTGCTGAAATCTTTTAGCAAGGTTGCATTTTAAATGATTGCGGACATTGAAACATTGCAGAAATGTTGCAGAAACGGTCGTGAAATATTTATATAATATTGTTGAAAGATATAATATTTCAAATAGAATATTGCAGCAATGTATCAGAAATATTACATGCCGACTAGGATGGCCCCCGAAAACTAGTAATCCAACGATGGAATGTAAAAAAGCGACTAATCCGAAAGATAATTGGACTGCCATCAAATACACAAGAGTATTAGGACCGTATAGTAAGTTCAATATAATATTGATACATGATTAATTACTATCTTTAATACTTTTTTCCCTGATTATTATTAAATTTATATAAATTAATTTTTTCCAAGGTAATTACGAAACTGCCAGATCAGTAAAAATTGCTGCTGTTGATTTATCTACTAACGATGAAGAACCGTTACAAAGCATCACTAATCAAAGTGATCAACTTCCGCAGAAACGTCTTCGAAAAAAACCGGCACATTTAATTTCATCTAGTGACGATGAAGATGCCGATGATGAATCGGGGAGTAGTGTATCAATTTGTTATTATATCTATACATTTATATATTTTGTAAATGCACTCTATAAATTCTTTATACTTTTTTCTTAGCCGTTACGACTAAAATTAAAGAAAATGTTCCTAAACCTACATTTGCATATAATGTTGATGACGAAAAACAAAAAAATTCGGTGGAATCTAAAACAAAAGGTAAAAAATCTTGTTCAATGTTAAAAAGATCATAAGATAATTTCCATTATTTTTTGTATATCTAGTACTCGTCTAAATTTATTATTTTGCCATTTATTATTTTATCATTGTATTTTAATTTAGTTGTATGTGTATAATTATTTAGGTCCAACAATTGCCTCTAAAGGTCAGAACGTAAAAAATATTAAAAATGAAAATATACATTTGGAGCCTGACGACAACAATAATCGTGAGGATGAATTATTACTCGAAGACACAATCCTTGGACTACGGGGATTTTTTTGCAGATGATCCTGTAATCTGTTGAAAAAACTCTTGATTTAAAAAAAGTCAAATTTGCTAATAAATGTGACGAAAATCTCAATTCTGGTTAGTTTCCCTGAAAAATAGAAATAAGATATGTCAAGTTTTGTAATATTTATTCTAAATTTTTATATTTCCAGATTCAGTTTGTTTCCAACCACGCAAGGATGTTAAACCCATTATTCGTAGTATTGTTAAAGCCAGTAAGTATCACTGTATCATTAGGACCACCTGGCATGGTACTAACAAATTCTAATCATACCTATAACAAACTTTTATTTTTTTTTTCACAAAATTTGCAGCCTTATATAGTTATGATTATTTTGTAGTAATTAAAGTGAATATATCTTGAAATACCGATTTTGTTTCAATAGATATACCAATACACGTGGTAAACCAAGAAAAGCCTCAGTCTTCTCACGTTTCTTCAGTTCCGAAGCAAGAAACTACTGCTGCTACTGTTACGAATCCGTCCTCCACGAAGTGTCACACACACTGTTGTGAGTACAAGAGTCCATGTGATTTTGGCGATTTTCCAATTAAGTTTTTCAATAACCAGCTTCCAGATTTTATTAATATCTAAATCTACAAAAGTTTTTTCATAATATATTGTGTAACGCTCCAACCTCCTTAATAAGATAGAGATACCAACTGAACATGTTTTTTAAATAATTTGAGAGAAGACTTATCTTGATTATTTCACTTATATCAATGAGAAGTCTTACAACTTACACACATAACTGGCTAAAGCTATCTTTCTATTTACAGCTGCATGTCGTCACAATATCGAAAGAAAATATTGCATAAACTTGAAGCTTTAAGAATGTCTCTTCTGGACTCTAATTGCTTTAATAAGTCCCGCACAATGCTAAACATTCTACCCTACCACAATTTCCAATACAAAATATAG